ACCGGGGGCACTCGCTTTATGGAAAAAAGGGACTCCTTGTCTCTCTGTGTGGAGTCCATATCACCGTTTTTAATACATAAAAATAAACCATTTAAACAAATGTAAACTACTTCAATATTTTATACAAAAGCGAAAAAGGTTTTGGAAACTAAAAAAGCAGGGGGTTGGCAATTCAAGAAATATTTAAGAAGCAGGGAAATGATATTCTATGGGATACAGATTCAAGATGCAAGTGAGAATCGATTAACAATAAACAGAAGTCACCAAGTAACAAAACATGTTTTAAAAACTTTCAATTAAATAACGGACTCAGTCGTTTCTGTATAACAGAAATGGTGGTCTTTGACCTGCTCACAGGCAAGCAGCGTTAACGGAAGCTCTGCACAGATGGAGTTGCTTTGGCATCAACAAGGTTTTGAATCTCTCAGAAGTTCTGGAATTGAAGTATCTACGTTTGTCTCTGACAGACACCAAGACTGTATGCCATTGCAGAGAGATATCTATTGAACAAAAACATTGTATGACTTAATATAATGGTTGATTTGAGTTTCTCTTACATTCTTTAGAATCGGCAGGATCCTAACATTACATATATATATTATATGTATATTGTATACTCTTTTCTGCCAGATTTAATGAAAATAAAATATTAAATTTACTAATTCTAAGAATTGAAGGTGCCAAACAGAATTTGTATTTCTAGACAGTATAACTTATACAGTATAACAACTAGACAGTATTTGTATAACTTATTCTTCATTCGCCCATACAATGCAATAGGCCAGGTCGCTATGATCAGGGAATGGTGGCCTAAAAACAGCAGAGATGTACAGGGAATACTGAATTTATAACACTAAAAAACCCAATGACAACTTATTTCACTCACCATTGACTCAAAGTAATAATTCCTCGCCATCGATCACGCTGTTGGGATTTTTGTATTCCATCTTCGTCCTCTGCCCGGTCATGAAAGCTTCGAGCCATGCCAGCTATGCCTGGTTCCGCGTCTGAATTATCCGCAGAAAAAAGACTGGTTCGTTCTTGCAAGGCAAAAATAGCCCATCAGCATCAAAAGCTATTCCCCTTCACTTTCGTCAAAAGCTGACGCCCTCGAGCTTGAATATTTGCCGTGAGACATGTTCATAGACTCTCAAGTAAAACTCCGCCGTATAACTTCTTGTTAGTTAGCAATCTAAATTTTCGCTAACACAACCACTTTACGTCACTTCCTGTCAAACTCGACCCAATCCCTTATGACAGAATTTGAAGCAAAAATCGACCTTGAAACAGCTGTAATTACGAAAGTGTTTGTTTTTCGAAAATTTTATGGTGATTTTCGTGATCAGCATACTCGATTACGTGATGGGGGCGAATAAAAATTTTCGTGTCATATGCACTTTAACCATGGTGAAGCTAAACCCTTCAACACTGCTCCAAAAAATCTATTGTCTTGAAGCAGTTGCATAGCAACGTGGTATGCTGTTCGTTGTTTTGCTCTTTTTCTGATTGAATGCATTCTTTGATGTGACGGAACTGATACGCCGGTTTGCTTTGAAGAAGAAGTATTTCGAAATCAATTTTTAAACAATCTAATTTTCCTTTGCATTATTCTTGTGAACCTCATCATCATCGCAAGGAGTATATTTATTAACGATCCACTGTCATTTTTAAAGAGTGCCAAACTGTTTTTAAGAACCCCGAAAACGAAGCTGCCTTTCTCGAAATAGAGGTTCCGGAGCGATGGTAAATTGATGTACTCTCGAACGTTAAGCCCAATCTCCAGTGAGAAAAAGTCTTGCGAAATTTCGCTGCGAAATACTTCATGCGACAAATTCCTTTGAATGCTTTTGTTGACCTCATGACATTGGAATGTAAAGTTTGGAAGCATGACAAAGGAATACGGAATATGATTGGCTGTTGAAGGATTTCGCAAGCGAAAAGCGAAAAAGTTAAACTCGTTTTAACTTTTTTTCGCAGAGAAATTCTTCGCGAGAAATCCCAGCAAAAGATTACTGCGCATGCCTAATAGGCAGGGCATTCCTCTCAACCATCGACCGCATTGCCTAACCTTTGTTTTCTCGGCTGATTATGGAACAATATCGTATAACGAATAATTTAAGCCCTTACAACATTTTCAAAAATTCATCAAAGTCACGTTACCGATGACGTCAAAAAGATGTTTTCTAGACTCAAAACCATTGTAACTTCTTCAGTAAACGTCTTAATTCAAAATAAACGCTAGATTCGGGCTCGCCTGGAGGAAAGCTTTCCAATGATATATACACATCAGTATTTTAACGATGTTAGCAATTTTCAATGATGACGTCATCACTTTCAAAATGGCCGTCGAACAGTACATTTTAAAACAAAGGCTATTATCTAATCAAACGCACTTCTGGATCATTTTGTGGCAATGGCTCTCAGAATGGCTATATTCTAGGAATGTGAATCAGGAAGGAGTTTAATGTTACATTTTTAGTCTTGTTTCCACATAGCTTCTCTTGACCTTGCCAGAATACTTTACCATTTGAACAAACTTCTGAAAATCTTCTATATCGCTATCACTAACCACTTTTTCTTCTCCAAGGCTGTCAAGCAGTTCAAGGTATCGCGGGCTCTTGATGACTGTTTTCAGCAACCTTACCTTTCCTACGTTGGGGAAATAGGATTTAGAATTACACCCAGATAAAGCATGTAAAGCCTGTAGATTAAGGCAAACATCTCTTCCGAAATGGGAACCATTTGCGTTTTACATGGAAAAAAGCAGAAGCCCAATGTGTCTTCCTTCAGAAATCAGTCTTATAAATCAGTTTGCTTCTAATTTCGACACAGGAGCTCGTGGCATTGATATACTTGCAACATGCTTAGGCGATACACTTCTCAATGACCTCTTTGCCCAGGCTCACCAACTTATACCCAGCTTCAGGAGCAAAAAATTTGATAGGGCTGTGCATCCGCGCTCGGTACGTTGGCATCGGCTTGATGGAGCGAACTGCTGCCACTCCGTCTACTATCCAAAAGGCAGACTTCGGAGGCAAGAGTCGTTGCAAAGTTACTTTGTCTGACTGACACAAAGTTAAACCAGCTGTAGCGATAGCAATTGAAAGGGGAACGGTTGTCATGGGATGGGTAAATGCCTCTTGCAGACTTCCTGCCTTCAAAATGAGTAGTTAAAAGCCTGTTTTTGTGTTACTTGACCACGGTACTGCAGGTGTCCCCGTGACCTTTTCCAGATCTGTCTTCAGCTTTTTTTTTCTTGATCGGCGTGAAGAATTAAACGCTGCCATTAATCAGAGGATCATTTGTGAAGGGATGCATATTCTCTTCTCCTATGATCGACGCTCCAAGAAGGTCAATAGAACTTTATTGATCTAATTCTTCACCAGTTAAAGTCGATTTTGCAGGAGCAACAGAAAACCGATTGATGCCATAGCTTCGAAGAGTTCTCTAAGGCTATCGTTATGCTTCTGAAGGAGCTTTGTCCCACCTGGAATGCTGTACTTGTGAATTGATGACGACTTTACGAAAAGGTATTGCTTCAGAGCCTTTCTATACTTGCTATGAATGTGGGACGTAGCAATCCAAGTGTTTACCGCATTAACGTTGGCTGAAGCCAGACCTGTATGGACCTGCAGTCCCTTTAGCTTCTTGATTAAATAGCTCTGTATGTAAATCGCAATGAATTGCAGAGAATTTGTTTTGAAATTTTTGCCAATTCCTTATTTGTTGGTATGCCAAACTATCTTGGAATGCTATAGTTTGTTCACCCTGCAATGATTGAAGTGCAATGGGAAGCAGATGTTGGTATGTACAGTAGCGGGCATAGTTGATGTGATTAAATGTAAATGTAAGCAGAATCATATTTCGCACTGCTTGCAAAAATAGCTTGGTGTTGCTTTTCTGCACAGCTGCTACCATGCTCAACAAAGCAGACAAATCCTCCAGCTTAGCGATTTCAAGACACTTTTCAGTTTTTTGACGATCTTCAAGAATCAACAGTTTTTTGCATCAATGTGCCATTGCTTATGGGCATTGACAGTGTGTGTTTTTTTAAAAGGACGTTGGCAAACCCATGAGTTGATGAAAGCAACCCATCAGCACCTTGATCTGACTATGCAAGTCAGCAATCGTTCGCATAATTTGGTTTATCTTTGCCTTCCCCATTTCATCCGCATGAACAAAAACATGAAATGTGTCAAAATCATATCTAAGAAAGAATCAAGGTATATTCCTTGCATACTGGATAGACAGGCACCTTATGAGTGATTGGCAAAGTATCTAGCCCTGTCAGAGGTATTAAACAAAGGCTTTAAAGTAATAAACCATATAATAACTGTTTCCTCCTGCCTCCTGGCAATGCCAATCATATAAGCCCTTGACCTTTGTGCAAAGCTCGGTTTCGTACCGACGGCTTCAGGTCCGGTCTTCGGAAACAATTAGTTTAGGTTTAATTAATAAAATTGAAAGAATAATCATGAAAAACTGTGGATGGAGAAGGAGCAGCTTCTTTTCCGTTATAAAAAAGTGTCAAGCAAAATCATGCATGATGTCAACTTGCAATAATGCCAAATTGTGCCTAGTAAAATCAGAGTCAGCTCGCTGGTCGACGGCCATTTTGAAAGTGATGACGTCATCATTGAAAATTGCTGACATCGTTAAAATACTGATGTGTATATATCATTGGAAAGCTTTCCTTCAGGCGAGCCCGAATATAGCATTTATTTTGAAGTCAGACGTTTACTGAAGAAGTTACAATGGCTTTGAGTCTAGGAAACATAACCTTTTTGACGTCATCGGTAACGCGACTTTGATGAATTTTTGAAAATGTTGTAAGGGCTTAAATTATTCGTTATACGATATTGTTCCATAATCAACCGAGAAAACAAAGGTTAGGCAATGCGGTCGATGGTTGAGAGGAATGCCCTGCCTATAAGACGTATTTCGCGAGAACTTTTTCGCATTTCGCAGTTTTTTTTCTCACTGGAGATTGGGCTTTAGGTTTCGAATTCCAAACATGGGAAGATTTAAGGTTATCAACAGCAAGTTGAAAAGGATTAGTGTTCTCTTCATCATTTGCTGGGGCGTCGGCTACTGTACGTAAGTATCCCAGTAACTCTTTCCTTTCTTCATGACTTAGTGTTGACTCCTTTCGTTCCGTCCAACGTTCCCAGGCTTGCTCTCTGTGAAAAGCACATATCAGTACTTTTGTTCCGCATTCTGAGAATACTGTAAATGTAAAAAATAGTATCAATGCTACTTATATCTTTTATACTTATACTGATAATGGTGTCACTGTTTTGTGTTCTATATTTTTGCTATAAAACCTTTACAATTGAAGATGAAGTTGAGATACTTCCGGTGCTTAAAGGTATCGGGACAAAAAAATGAGAATACCTCTCATTGCCTTGGCCCGCGAGGAAGGCCATTGAAATCATCGAAGAAATCTACGTACCCGACTCAATAGCGTTTATTTCAATTTGGGAATAATCACACATGAAGAATTGTGGTTTCCAGCTTGGATTCCAATTCTTCAAAACAAGCAATGCCTCTTCAACCGACTCTGTATTTTCTTCTTGAGTGATAAATTCCGCTGAAACAAAATTTTGATATCTAAATTATTATAAAGAATCAGAAATATGAAAATTATTTTTTTCAAAAAAGGGTTTTTGAAATAGATTTTTCTAACATAATTTTCTTATATAGAGGTACCTTTTAGAAAAACACAAGGTCTCTAAGAAATGCGTTTCTATTTTTCGGGTTTTTACTGTATCATAATAACAAAAAGGGAGCACAAACTTAAGTACTTGATACCCACTATGCGACGAGCATGTTTTTGGAATTGCATCAAATGGCATCATGGCATCAAAATCCCGGTCGTTGGGAAAAAGATCATAATTATAACTGCGTGTTGCGGAGCTGGGAATCAAGCCTATATTTAGTTAATTTGAATTTGAATTTACCTGCAACTTTGTACCCAGCATTTGTATTTACGATGACAAAGAACAAAGGTAACGCGTATTTTGTTGTTTTGTATGTTGCATCCATCAAGCATATGTTATTGTTGCTCCCATTCTTTGATTCTCTGCTGTAAATTTACCTGGTCCATACAGCTAAGTTTCTGTTTCGTGGCAGCTATATACATGTGGTTTGCAATGCACCTATCTCTTGGAAAGAATGCGGTGTTAAGTACATCTGGCTTTCTGCTGGTGTGTGCAAACATATCATTTAAGATAAAATCTTTCAGCAGCTCTCTCATTGTCTGGACGTCGGATACACCTATAAGAGAATAGGTATATTCTTTTGCCATATATTCTCTACACTAGATCTCACATGGAGGTATTAAATAAATGACGAAAAACATTGTATTGAAGATAAAGGCAAACATCATTAAGGAATTTGTTACTCCGCGTATATATTCTCAACCTTTTTTTTCTTTGTCTTGACGTTAGGCAAACTTGTCGCGTAGTTGAACATCACTTATTACGATTGATTGAAGGGTTTGTGTTTTGTGAGTAGATGGTCCTGAATTCATAATTTTCGCAGAGAGTTTCTCACGGAGTTTCTATTTTTTCAGCCTTTTAATTATTCACAAAAGAGAGACTGTATGCAGGCTAACTTTTTTTTTATATTAGTTTTTGATTTCATAGTCTATTTTCTTTTAAATCAGAGTAAAATTGGATTTCTTCAAGTTTCAAATCTTATTTTTTAGTTTTGTTTTGACAGCAAAATTTTCTACCTGAATTTGTCAGTTTGTGAATTTGTTCTTTCACCTTCTGGTTAATTGGTTGGCCCAGCCCGGCAAAAACACCAACAGCGTGCGATGTATGGGCGCATTGGTCCGGAACACATAGGTAATATCGTTTAAAAATTTTAAGATCAGGATTTCCGATATTTTCCTTCAACTTCTGCAACCACTCCTTCTTTGTAAATCTGTCAAACTACGAAAGAGGAAATATGCTTTATGGCTGAAAAGAACATTTTTGTTAGAGGAAACCTTTAACTTTTTACCGAGGTAAGGAAAATCCAGCTGCTCTGTTGCCTTGAAAATTGATTGGGAGTGAAAACAACTGCTTGGCAGCAATTTAATATATTTTCCGGCATATGCTTTCTGTCATAGACATTTTTTTGATTGTGTAATTATTTTCAGCATCTACTGTATGTAATTTTATTCCAAATAAAATTTAAAAGAGCTATGTTGTGCTTTCGAAAACTACTGTAGATATTCCATTGTTACTTTTAACATTATTATTTAAAAAATCTAAAGTATTCTTACATGTCTGCGACTTTCAGTCTTGGCTTTATCAGATATGTCATAATCTGGGTACACTGTTATAGATCGCACAAAGATCTTTGCAGGACATCCAAGTTTTCGCGAATCTTGCAGCCTCATTCGTCGTTTTTTCCAACTTGGATGATTATTGATGCTCTCCTGAAATTTCACAAATAAAAACCCCCATAATATTTTACACTAAAGTCGTTAAGATTCTTGTATCCTTATCTCCATGATATTTGAAAAAATTTAATTTGTATGCATGCTATTAAAAAATTCTGGATTGCCAAGCATATTTTGTGCACAAGCGTCAAAATACCGCTGTCGTTACAAAAAAGAGGCAACGATACAAATTGAAAATAAAGAATAACCTCTGGCGAATCTTCTTTGTTTTTGTCATGTCTGTTCTGTCCGTAAGTACATTCGAGCTGCACATTAGATTCTACTTTAAATGGACTGCCAAAGAATTCTATCGGATTGTGTCCACGCGTGCTCTGCCAAACTGGATCCCCTAAAATGTAAGACAGGATACGATTAACTGTTTTCTTCCCTATTCAGCTTCAATCAAACATCAAGGGATTTTAAAAATGTAGATATATTTTCCAGGCATTGCAGCAATTTGTGATTTCA